ATGCCTTAGAGGGAGTATCTTTGGGATTTTTGTGGGAGTTTCATACTTGTCTCTTAGATTCCATTTTCTTTTTTCGCCTCGTTAGATTTCTGTTTAGTCTCACCTACAAATCAAAATTGAACTCTCCAGAGTTCATGAGAAACAAGTCTTTTAGCAAGCCTTACCTGTTTTTGCTACAGCAGACACTGATCTATGCTGGTTTCATCTACAAGGTGAGATTTTTCATTTGGATCTGCCTAGCTTGGTGGAAGTCATGTCTGGATTCATGAAGTTGCTAATGTATTTTTGTTGTGCCAGTATTTTTATGGGATACCTGTACACACAAAGGTATCTAGATCTGTTAGTTATGGAACAGCAATTTATCTTGCTAGTTTTAACTGATATGATTCTTCACGCACAAAGGTAGATGTTTGCTATGATACCAGAGAAACAAAAGGTTAGAAACAGAGTTTCAGAAGAGGACAACTAAGACAATGGAGATAATTTTTGGAGAGTATCTGGCAACTATAGGTTTTTTTTGTAGTTGTCACACGAGCTTTTTAGTGTGTATTTCAGGCATAAAAATGAGCAAATGGCAGCAGTCCATGCTGAGGATGCTTTTTTTCTTAGAAAGCAACTTCAAAATTACTTTGGGGGATGATCCCCTTTTTCTGTCTTTATCAGGCCAATCAGGGAAACGATACTATGACCGCTCTCTCTCCTCCCCATTGCTCATGATCTCCCTCTGCTTCTCCTGATTTCAGTTTTCATGCGGTTTATTTAAGTATTTCATTTAATGCAAATGTACTAAGTGGTTCCTGTACAGTTAAGGAATTAGCAAAGTTCTTGTACTCCTTTGACTATTTAACTCTTGCTTTGCCAGCTTCTACTTTAACTGCCATTCCTGTTGGTCCCATTTTTAAGACCTTTAGAATTTTAGAAAGGATACATCAAAGAAATGCTCTCCCTGCATTCTGTAAAATTTACACATCTTGGGGTTGTTTTAGCTTTTCATGACCAGAAAACATAATTTATGAATGTAGATAGCAGTTTGTATCCAAGCACTTAATCCAAAGTACTGGTTTGTGTGCTTTAGCGATTCACTGTTTGCAAATAGTTAAATCTCTTTTCATTTTTTAAACTGAAATCCTTGTGTGCCCTTTAGACATCCCTTTGTGAATTTCTAGCCAACAATTTAAATTCTACTTGGTAAAATGGACCTATCAATTTTTCCTGTCTTTGTCATTCACTTCAGATGAGGAGGATGACTGTACCATCTGGCACATAAACTTTGCTTTGGGCCTTTCCCTAGATGTTTGTGTTTGATGTGTGTCCAAATCTTGCAGATTCTTTCTTTGAGACCTTTGTTAAATATGGCCTATTATAACCTTGTAACACAGTTAAAATGTTCTTATTTTGCATCTTAATTTCTGTAATTCCTTTTTCTTGGCCAATGCAATGTTATCTAGTCATTTAGAATATTCTGCAAGATCATTTTCCTGCTTTATACAATCAAACTGTATTTATGTATCTGATTCACTTTCTTTCTATCCAAAACTTATTTGTCTTTGCCTTTAAACTTTTTGTGGCTTAAGTGCATTCTAGTATCATCCTTCATCCCATGATATCTATTCCTGCTGTTAATTGGCTCATCAAACCAGCCCACATTGGCCAGCTGTTAGTTTTCTTTCTATAAAGTCCCTGCATTCCTTATAAACATCTTTTTAGAAAATCATTTTTCTCCTCCGAATCCCTCCTTAAAGTCTTTTTGCTGTGATGTCTAAATACAAGCTGGACAAGACTCATCTCCTGGTGTGCTAAGAATTCTGCCTGTCGAGCTGACCAATGTCAGATGTTAAAAAAAAAAAAAAAAAAAAAAAAAAAAAAAAGACTGGAGGGTAACTATTCACTGTATTTTAGCTGATCTTCAGTAACTGTCTATGATTGCGCCCTTAGCCTGTGGCAATGCAAAGTAATTTGAGTTAGCATAGTCGTCTTTCATTGACTGCAAACTGCAACTTTTTATAGTTAAGTATTTATTAACGCTTGAAACCCTTTTCTTGTACTAAAACTGTGCCCTCTTTCATTGAGAGCTCATGTAACATGAATTGCCTTGCATTTACTGTGGGCTGAGTGTGCACATGGACAGTTACCTGGCACTTGTCTAGCATAACAGTAACCGTACAGTTCACAGCAGACTGCCTATAATTCAGAAGGCAAGGTGAAATCCTGTGAGTGGGGAGAGGGACTGAGAATTACACAAAATTTGGAAACGTAATTTCACCTTGATTTTTCACTTCCAGTCTTTAGATTCTAGGATCTTGTGTGCTTTTAATTTCTTTACTGTAGTAGGGTATGCGTTCCACTGACCATATTTTGTTCTTGATGTTTCTTCAAATAGAAAAGAGGAGGCATTTGAGGATATGATTTCCAATATGGCAGTGGCATTTTCTTCCTGAAAATTCATCAACCTGTTGTGTTCTTT